GGCTAGGATTAATTTGAAAATCAAGGGCCAAGATCTAATCTTGCAAAATAAGATCAATGGCTAGGATTTGTCAAGACTTTTTATAAAAATCTTCTCTCCCTCCCTTATGATATTTTCGTCCACCATGAGAGAGAGGAGAGGAAAAACTGAAATGGAGAGAGGAAGAAGGAGAAGAGGAAGAACTCATGATCCTAAGGCCATCCAAGCTTCAAATCAAGGTATGTTCATGGATTTTGATCTAGTTTCTACCTCCCTTGGTATTTTTGAGCTTAGATGTTGGTTTGTTGGGTTTTTCATGATTGAAACCTAGGGGGAGGTGCTGCACAAAATTGTTCAGAATGGGAGAAGATGAAATTAAAGTCATAAACATGTTTAAAGGCTTGAAAACAACAAGAATCAATTGGTTTGATATTGATTCTTCAAGAAATCCAACTTCCCCTTTCATTTGTGTATGATTCTGCCATGGCTGGTTCTTTATGTTGGGTCTGGAATTTGATGATTTTGATTCTTCCAATGAGTTTAAATGATGATTTTGTGTAGGGATATATGTAGAAAACATGTTTGGAAGCATTAGAATTGAAAATGGAAATTTTGGACCTAAGGCACCTATGTTTCGGCCAAACCAGAACAAGGGGGAAGGAGTTGGATTTTGATTGTTTTGAACTTGGAAATGGATTCTACATGCAAAATTATGTGGGAATAGCATGTGGAATTAATTTTAGAATGATTGGAAATAAATCTCAAAAGTTAGAAACAAAGTGTGATCAAGTAAGAGCCAAGTGTGGAATAGGTTGATAACTTGGTCCTAATTGATGTTTCGCGTAATGTGTTGATGTGTTTAGGACCTTGGAACATCCAAGGGGATGTCTTGTTTATGTCAACTGAAGGCTTAAACACTTGGAAGGTTAGGGGAAGCAAACGGAAAGCAAGAGGGAAGCTATGTTACAAGGTAGTGAACTTACCTATTTTGTGTGCTTGATATGTATGCTTGCATGATGTTATTATGTTGCCATGATGTGACTAAGTTATGATGAAATGTTGCAAAGTTATGTTTGCAAGTTTATGTTATGTTTTGCCTTGGCAATATGTTATGAAAGCATGAAATGCTTTAGCTTACTTTCCATGGCGTTCCTATGATGATGTTATGATAACATGTCGTGCATTTGCATTATGTCTTGCATGTTTATGGGTAGTGTTTGCTACTGAGATTTTCCCGAATCTCACCCTCCCTTAACAACCCCTAATAGGTATAAAGGGCATGGAGGAAAAGTCAAGGATGAGGAATGCAGGATTGATGGAAGAAGTCAAGAACATGTTATGGTCTTATAACATGTTAAGTTATGTAACATAGTTTATCAATTTATGTTTGATATGCCATGTATGTGGAATGATGATATTAAATGTTTATAATATGTAATATGGTATGAGGTTATGTATGGAGATATTATGTGGATTTATAGCATGACAAGAGGTGGAGAAATAAATTGTTTATAAAGATTGAATTAAGTTGAAGGGATAGAATGCTCCTAAATGAGTCGCAAATTGGTGCCAATGATGAGGCAGATCAAATGAATGAATTTAGCTATGAAATTTGGTGACTATACAGGACACATCCTAAGCTTTAAAACAAGTGGTAAATCACGAAAAATGGATGTGTATGCTAAGAGATATGGCTGTTCAAAGTCAAGACAGGATTTCTGGAAAGTACTGTTTCGACCACTTGAACAGTAATATTTAACGAATAAACTGTACTAATTGGCAAGATTTGAGCCCTGAAAGTTATTTTTCCCTTGTAGAAGATTGAAAGAGATTTAAGTGAAAATTGGAATTGCTCCGTTCTGATTTTTGTAGAATTAGTTATGATTTTTCAAATTTGGACCTGAAATCTGGAGTTTAAACAGTGAAAAGTAACCCGAGTAATTATGTTGAAAATTTTAATCCACGGGCTTGTACTTTGACCTGCTTGAACCATAACGCTTACAAATGCGTACTCTGAGGGGTTAAAGGTAGGATGTTTCATAATGTGTCTCACCACGAGCAGATGGCCACCATGAGTTTTCTGACTACACTGCCATCTCAATATGTGACTGCTCGGTCGCAAATTTTATCTGGAGCTAAAATCCCTCTCTTGAAGAAGTTTTCTCTCGTGTACTGAGAACTGAACAAAACCCTTCCTCAGCTCCCATTACACCTACTAGTGCATTACTCAGTCGAGGCCAGAATGACAATCGAGGGCTCCCTAATCGTAGTGGTCCAAAACCAGGAGGTGGTAATCAGAGCCCAAGGAAGTGACATGTTACTACTGCAAGGAACCGGGACATACTAAACGCACATGTCGTAAGCTGCAAAACAAACAACAATGACAGAGCTCTGCCCATGTGGCCACAACAGCCAATGACATGGTTACTATCTCAGCTGCCGAGTATGCTCAATTGAAGTCTGTAAATCCCCCCGTGAGCGCTGCTAGTGCAACAGGTAATGAGGCTACTGCCCTTGTCTCTTCTTCCTCCAAATGGATCATAGACTCTGGTGCCACTGACCACATGACAGGTAACCGTCATCTCTTCTCTAGCTATAATTCTTATGCCAACCCTTCTGCTATCACCATCGGGGATGGTTCCCACTCTCGTGTCCTTGGATCTGGCACTGTTAAACCTACTCCTTCTATTCATTTAAAATCTGTACTCAATGTCCCGAATCTTGTTTTTAACCTTTTGTCCCCTAGCAAGCTTACTCGTCAATTAAATTGTTGGGTCTCACTTTTTCCTAACCATTGCTTGATACAAGATCTTTTGACGAAGAAGATTATTGGTAGGGGCTACGAATCTGGCGGACATTACTTCCTTGATGACCAGGGGTCTCGTGCGGTGGCTTGTAATGGTGGTGTCACTCCATTTGAAGCACATTGTCGTTTGGGTCATTTATCTTTATCCTCTTTAAAAAAGGTTTATCCTCAGTTTCAGCATTTGTCGTCTTTAGATTGTGAGTCGTGTCAGTTTGCTAAACATCATCGTCTACCGTTAGTGTCTAGAGTCAATAAACGAGCTTCGTCCCCTTTTGAGTTAGTGCACTCCAATGTTTGGGGTCCGTGTCCAGTTGAGTCCAAAGGTGGTTTTAAATATTTTGTCACATTTGTTGATGATTATTCTCGTACCACTTGGTTATATTTAATGAAAAATCGTTCTGAGCTTTTCTCTCACTTTTGTACTTTTGTTGCCGAAATTAAAACTCAATTCAATACTCTTATCCACACCTTGCGCAGTGATAATGCTAAAGAATATTTTTCTGAATCCTTTCGCTCTTTTATGCTTCAACACGGCATTCTTCATCAATCTTCCTGTGTGGATACACCGGCTCAAAATGGTGTTACCGAAAGAAAAAATCGTCACTTATTAGAAGTGGCCCGTGCACTTTTATTTCAAATGCAGGTTCTAAAACCATTCTGGGCAGATGCGGTCTCCACAGCTTGCTTTCTTATTAATCGCATGCCCTCCTCTGTCCTTGATGGTAACATTCCCTACACCACTCTCTTTCCTTCCAAAGCTTTGTTCCCTATTGATCCTAAAATCTTTGGCTGTGTTTGTTTTGTTCGGGATGTGCGTCCCACGGTCTCCAAATTGGACCCCAAGTCTCTTAAATGTGTCTTTCTTGGCTACTCTCAAGTTCAAAAGGGTTATCGATGTTTTTCTCCTACTGTGAATCGTTATCTGGTTTTAGCCGATGTCACTTTTCAGGAATCTGTTGCCTACTTTGCATCTAATGCTTCCGCTTCACCTTCTCCACCAGCGGAGGAGGATACCTTTCTGGTATATTCTATTAGTCCAAACTTACCACCAGCACCAACTCCCGTATTGGCACCTGGTCAACCACCTTTGTCTTGGGTTTACACCAGGCGTTTGAAGGAAACTACTCCTACTGTTGCGCCACATTCTGCTCCACCATTATCTGCTTCGTCATTTGATCCTGTAGCAAGCATCATGCACCCTGAGCCTGACCTTGTTCCAGGTCTAGATGTTGATCCCTCAATTGACTCTAAGACACCTCCTGTTCCAGATCCAGATCCCTCCCTTGATTTGCCCATTGCCCTTTGCAAAGGTAAACGTACTTGTGCCCATCCTATTTCTTCCTTTGTTTCATATAACCACCTCCCCTCTGTTTCTCGTGCCTTTGTTGCCTCTTTAGATACTATTTCAGTACCTAAGTCCCTTCATGAAGCCTTGTCCCACCCGGGTTGGCGTACTGCTATGGAAGAAGAGATGGCGGCCCTTCATTGTGCTGGCACATGGACCTTAGTAGATTTACCAGCAGGAAAGAAAGCTATTGGGTGTAAATGGGTGTTGACCCCTAAAGTTAAGGCGGATGGTACACTTGAACGCCTCAAGGCTTGCCTTGTCGCAAAAGGCTATGCTCAAAAGTATGATATTGACTACTTTGAGACTTTTTCCCCCGTGGCCAAGCTCTCTTCTGTTTGTCTAGTCATCTCTATGGCCGCTACCTATAGTTGGGATCTCCATCAATTAGATATCAAAAATGTATTCTTGAATGGTGATCTCCTTGAAGAAGTGTACATGGAGCAACCACCAGGTTTTGTTGCTCAGGGGGAGCGTGGGAAGGTGTGTCGCCTTAAGAAATCACTCTATGGCTTAAAGCAAAGTCCTCAGGCATGGTTTGATAGATTTAGTACTGTTGTGAAGAACTTTGGCCTGCACCAGAGTAAGTGTGATCATTCTGTGTTCTATCAGCGAACAAGTGCTGGCATGATCCTACTAGTTGTGTATGTCGATGACATTGTGATTACAGGAAACAATGCCTCGGGGATCTCATCTCTCAAGTCATTCCTTAACTCACATTTCCAAACGAAGGATCTGGGTTCATTGAAGTACTTTCTAGGAATTGAAGTCATGAGGAGCAAGAAAGGAATCTTATTAACTTAGAGAAAGTATGTTCTTGATCTGCTGAAAGAAACTGGGAAACTAGGGGCTACCCCGACCAGCTTCCCTATGGTCTATAATCCTCTACTTGATGCTAATGGTAGCATACCATGTGAAAATCCTGATGAGGCTGCTAAGAGCAAGCCATTTGAAAATCCAGAGAGGTATAGGAGACTGATTGGGAAGTTGAATTACCTTACAATGACCCGTCCTGATATCACCTATCCAATAAGTGTCCTTAGCCAATTTATGGTTGCGCCAACTGTCCGACAGTGGGAAGCCTTAGAGCATGTGTTACACTACTTGAAGGGATCCCCGGGTCGTGGGATATTGTACAAGAATCACGGTCACACAGACATTGAGTGTTTTTGTGATGCTGATCATAGTGGGTCAAAAGCCACGAGACGATCTACTACAGGATACTGTGTTTTTGTAGGAGGCAATTTGGTGTCCTGGAAAAGCAAGAAACAGAAAGAAACAGAATGTGGTGTCACGATCGAGTGCAGAAGCGGAATACAGAGCAATGGCGCAATCTGTATGTGAGATAGTTTGGATATACCAGCTACTAAAAGAGGTTGGTCTTAAAACCTCGTTACCAGCAAAGCTGTGGAGTGATAATAAAGCAGCCCTACACATAGCTTCGAATTCGGTCTTTCATGAACGAACGAAACATATTGAGATTGACTGTCATTTCGCCCGAGACAAGCTCAAGGAAAACTTCATCTCTATAGGACATGTCAGATCCAGCGACCAGTTGGGTGATCTTCTCACCAAAGCTCTCAATGGGGTTCGAGTTGAATATCTTTGTAACAAGTTGGGCATGATTGACATCTATACTCCAACTTGAGGGGGAGTGTAGAGATATTATAGGAGATATTATAAGATATGTAAATATCCTGTAATTAGTATATAGGATATGATATGATATGATTTCGAAGTAATGAGCCATTAATACCTAGGCTCCTTTATTGTATATAAATACCCAATCAAAGTATCAATAAAATATACAATTTCCATTCATTTACAGTTATCATTTTATGTTTTGACATGTTCCTAATACATGTTTGTTATCAAAGCTTGCATAATTTTAAATCCCGCTTCCGTCTAAAATAGGTTCAAGGACAAAACTCTTTTAAGATGTCCTAAGTTTGAGGATATGAGGAGGGTGGATTGGCTTAGCTAGGTGGCACCCAAAGTTAGCAAGACTGGGGGGTTGTGTCTAATCTAGGTTATAGAAAATGATGTGCATGTGCTTTTACAATCAACTTAAGCTTTTGGCATGAAACCTTAATACTGACAAATAAACATGCATGCCTTAAGAATATATCTCATTTTTTAATTAAAAAGAAAACCCCTTAAGCACATCTAATCAAAGATCAAAAGCAAGTTAGGAACAAAAATATAAGACATTAGGTACAACCTTAAAAAAAGCCTAAAAAATAATATAAATAACATAGAAAAACAATATACTTAAAGCAAATAATGTACAATTCGTGCTGATGTTTGTTTCAAGCCAAAAATCTAGAAAAACATTCTAAACTTTTAAATTTGTAGCTTTAGACCTAGAAAGCATTATTGTTACATGATAAAAACATTTTAAAAGTCGTTTATATTTTATAGGTAGAATCTATAAACCATCTAAATTACTATATAGCAACAAAAAAAAGGTATGATCAACCTATAGTTAAAAAGTATTACTTGACAAGTTATCATTCATTTTGAGTTAATTACTATCATCTGAGATTCACCAGCCTTACAGTTAAAAAGTATTTATTAACAAGCTATCATTCATCATGAGTTAATTACTATCATCTAAAATTCACAACCTTACATAACCTTACATATCTTCACATAATCATGTGTTTCTCTAGCACATTGATAGGCCTATAACAATATTTGTATCTTTTGCATCATCTTGTCCAGAACTCTCATTAACATACTTTACAACTATCCAGCCAAAAGAGACAATGCTTATGTGAGTACCTAAATATTAAATATCAATTACTTATATAATTTATCCATTTAGATTAATCTTATGTTTTGAGCTTCTACTTCATTGAGCTCAAAAACAACATAAGAAGTGTTGTTATCTTTATCATACTAGGTAAAAAGCACCTTGAACTATTATAATGTTAAACTATCTAGAAAGTAGGAACCTCTTTTATTACTATCATTTATCTTGAGTTAATTACTATCATCTAAGATTCACCAATCTTACATAACCTTACATAACTTTACATAACCTACAATAGCATTCGTATCTTTTGCATCATCTTGCCCAGAAATTTCATTAACATACTTTACAAGTGTCCAACCAAGAAAGATAATGCTTATGTGAGCACCCAAATATTAAACATCAATTACTTATACAATTTACCTATTTACATGAATCTTATGTTTTGAACTTCCACTTCATTGGGCTCAAAAATAGACATAAGAAGCAGTGTTATCTTTATCATTTTGTATGAAAATGATCTTGCAAGAATCTCTTTTAAACTCATTTAACATGATGTTTTTGATCTCTCTTTTAATCATTTTCTAGGTGTTTGTTTCTCTTTGGTGTAGTGTTTAGTCTGTAGCTAAGCCCAAAAATATTTTATTATAATACTAATCATGACTTATTGTTCATAAAAGCATCTTTTCTGGCATGTGTTTAACATGCTTCATAGAGCCATAGAACAAGAACCATGTAAGTTGTAAAATCATATGGTCAACTTGTACACAATAAATAATTAAGAATTCCTTATCTCTTGAAATTCATATGTCTAGAAAATATATCATACCTAAAAATTACCTCATTTATGAAAATAAGCACAGCTAGAACTCTTATAAGGAATAGGGAAAAAATTTATATGGGAATTTATTTTGATTCGTATTTGATTCTCAAAACAAGAAGCACTTGAAGACAAATGAAATAAAGAAATACTCTAAACAAACAAATTTGCTCACAAATCATCTATGCAACATCAAAAATATCATTGATGCTTCCAATTTCTCAACAAATAGTAGCCTCCTAATATTAAGTCAAAGAAATAGTACTGACCATATTAGACAAGTAATTGTTACTCATATATAAACATTATTTACTGTTCTTTTCTTTTACACCTGTTGGATTTCACATTGCAGCTTTTATCCGCATCTCCTTTGAAGAGGCCAAAGGCATGAAATTATCGTTGACTACAAGATTGGGCTTAGTTCGATTAAGATGGCGATGATACATCACAATAAACACTAAAGAAAGCTTACATGGTGTACAACCAAAATTTTAAAAAAATTGCTTCAACAATTCTGACAGCACCTAGCAGATGACTAGTTGCCCCCCTGAAAACCTATAAAGACAGCCATGGGCTTGATCAAGCATGTAATATTCATTCTAACATTAAGGGGAAAATGTACAAATTAGCAAATAACTTGGTGGTATGGCTTGAAATCTCATATACAGTATCTTTGTGGATTAGAAGGCCAAAGCACCTAAGGTTGCATTAATAAAAGAATATGGTTCTGATAGCATTTGCTTCTATTGCATCACCTGCATAATAGAATAAAGTGATATAATTATTAAAAGCACCAAAATCCAGCGAACAACTCCGAGATCCAAAGGTGAGATCAAGTTTCTTTGTAATAATAATTTGTAAAAATCCAATTAACTTGCCCAGAAGCATATATGTGGCATGTGCATTTATGTAATCCACTCAAGAAGAATGAAGATCTGACTACAATTCAATAAAAAGCAGTTTCAAGAAACAATTTTACATTCTAAATTATGTCAGGCGACCAACTAAGAGTAAACAACACATTCAAGCGCCAAAATTGAGCTCTAAATCATTATGGCAATATTACATATTAGGTATACATCTCAAATGTTCTCAAACAATAAATACACAAAAAATATCAAAATAGCCACTTTTGAACACCAATTTTAATAGCTAGTTTGTCATTCTACATACAAACAAGAATATGAAAAAGCTCCATATAACATAGAATAAAATGCCCGCCTGAACTTCAAATATCTTGACAGACATTTTCTTTTTGGGAAAAAATGCCTCTACTTTGTACCTATGCAATACACAACCAATTCATGGAGAAAATAATCATGAAAAGTGTGACAGCTATTTCAAACAAGTGAAATTTATATAACAAATAAACCTTATACATACAAACAAATGACACTTGTCATTGCCAAAATGCCACCTCTCTCATCATTAGGTGGTTGAGTAATATGATATGCATCACCTGACCAAAACCATTATATAGGAACTCATAATCTTAGGGAAAAAAGACTTCACGGCTTTTTACATGCTCAAATTCCTTTCCATTAGGGGAAATGTGAAAATAAAACAGTAAAGATCACGATTATATAATTTAAAAATGAACAGATGAAGGTAAAGGATGCATGAATCAACTAACCTCCAAGATTAAGACATAGCACCTTCACCTATCCCGGAGAAGAGTATGGCTTTATATCATGATGAGATACGAGGCAAACAAAGAGGCCCCATTCAATATTATAAAGGTCAAAACAAATAAATGAATAAAAAGAAACAGCTTCACAGGGCATTTATACACACAAAAATAAAAAAAATCTTGGCCACTATTAGAGGGTCTTGAAGCTTTTTGTAGGACTGAGTTGTACTTTGTCTGTAGACAAAACCCAAGGGTCTAAAATCTTTCTTAGACATCATATGACAAAAAAAATGACAGCGAAGAAAACAGTAGAGAAGGCAGTTGAAAGACGAAACAGGGTACCGCTCATAATTCAATACAAATATAACCTGCAAAATCATGCAATAAAACATCAATGCTGGCTTCCGTGCCTCACCAACAACCACAACATCTGTGTCTCCAAATTGAATTATCCGTAATGCATCATAGAATGGCCGTTTCCAAAAGTTCTCCATTTCTTGGTATGAATTTTCTGAAATATCAATTGTTTTGACTAGAATCAACTAACCATCTAAATTATAGCAACTAAAAAAAAAAGAAGGTTTGATTAGCCTACATTCAAAAGTATTCACTGACAAGCTACCATTCAAGATGAGTCAATTACTATTATCTGAGATTCACCAACCTTACAAAGCCTCGCATAATCATGTTTTTCTCTCTGTAAGATAGTGGTTGATATCTTGATTGGAATAGAGAGCGTAGAGTTTTGTGTGTTCTAAGTTTGCAGATGATAAATGGGAATATTCAAAGAGGTATCTATTCAAACCCATCAAACTGTATCCCTAGTTTCTGAAATTTCTCTGGGAAAAATATAAACCCCGCAAGAAGCACCGGAAAGTTAAGAAATGGAATAGAGAGAGAGAGATTTCAGGTTATTAAGGATGCCAAAAGAGGATTACACACTTTTACAAACCAGATGGAATAGAGAGAGAGAGAGAGAGGAGAACCTGGAATGTCATTTGTGGAGGAGGGCGTTATACCAAGTCCAGAAACTAGCGAAGCCCCTGGGCAAATTTGCCATTAATGATCGTTAAATTAAACTAAATGGACGTGTTTCAACTTAAAATATAGCCATTTTCTTCCAACGTTCGGAAACTTGA